GAATGAATGAATGAATGAATGAATGAATGAATGAATGAATGAATGAATGAATGAAATACATTCAGGGACCCTCTTGGTCTCTTCCAATTCTACAGTTCGAGGCTTCTATGAAAGCAGAAAAAAGCAGAAACACCGAACAACACACCTAAAACAGCAGCCAGGGTGAAAACAGACCCACAAGTGACAATTCACATAGCCAATGCATGGGCTCAGCCCCACTTCCTGACCCCCAGCCTGGGGGTCTTCCAAGCTTTTTTAGGGTGCAGAATCTGTTCCTTAAAAAAAAAAAAATTCCCCAGAACCCCTGATCAAAAGGGGTGGGGCTTCTGAAGGACAGCAGATAAGCCCCACCCTTTTTGGTGCACCTTAATGACTAAGCCTCCCCCCCACCAAAATCCCTCGCAGGGACTTTTCCCTTCATCCCTTGCGGACCACCACCCTGAGGAAAACTGACATCCAGCTAAATTTTCTGTGTTGCTCCAGCCCAACCTTCGGCAAAGCACGGGAAAACCCTAACCCCTTATTAACGGGGGTGGTTTAATCATAATCCACTAAATAAATAATAACACTCACCAGTCATAATCATCGACTAAAGAAATAAATAACCTGGCAGGCAGAGTATTTTTATTATGACGCACTCTCACCATCAAGGCTATCCTTAACCAGACACTCCCCGCCCACCGCCCCCAAGAGATTCCAAACCTTGAAATCCAGGATTTTCTCGGGATCGGCCTTGGAGTCTTTCCCCACCGATGTTTCCCCTTCTTTTTTCGTCCCTTGCACCAAAGGACAGGACTTGTCAGGTTCAAGAAGGCAGTTTGCAAAATGGCCCGGGACTGCGGTTTGCAAAATGGCCCGGGGCGCTTCTCCCCATAAGGTAAACCTCCTTGCAACTGACTCGGAGGGAGCCAACGGATACGGCAAAGGGAACTTGCACGTGTGGGTGTCTGGGATCCCGGCTGGAGCTGGATCCTGCGGTGATCCCCTCTCTAAGGCCAACCTGTTTCTCCCAGGAGGGAGCTGAAAGGGACACGCTTGTCGCGTTCTTCCCAATGGCACGTCATCCCTTCCTGGAGCTACTTGGTACGCTGGTAGAACTGGACGACCGCTTTCTCCTGGTCGTACGTCTCGATGGATCCTGGCCGCAGCCGACGGATCTCCTGGATGGCGTCCACCCCGGTGATTTTGTGGCTTTTGGAAAGATAACAGGCCAGCATGGTTCCGGTCCTTCCGTAGCCCAGCAGACAGTGAATGGCCACACCCTGGTGGAAGGAGATCATTTCAAGGGTTATTTCCTTTTTTAATATATACATGTGTGTGTGTGTGCAAATTACATATATATATATATATATATATATATGTGTGTGTGTGTGTGTATGTGTGTGTGTAATTTCTATTAAAACTTTTTAAAAGGAGGTCAAAGTGAATACAAGCTAATACGAAGGAAAGAAGGCACGTGAGCAAAAAGGGGGAAAAAATTAAAGGAAACTTAGAAAGGAAAAAAGATACAAAGCTTCTGATCTTCTTGGCAGCAGTTGTAAGTACAATTATTTTTTTAATAACCTCTCTCTAACGTTACATCAAAATCTATCCTGTCTAATCATCGAAACTATAAATCACAAGCTCGGGTTTTTTTTCATTTTTTACGCAAAAAAGTCCGTAAAAAGTTTCTAGTCACCAATAAATAGTGTCTTTTCTGTAATCTAATGCTTCTCAACCTTGGCCACTTTAAGATGGGCGGACTTCAACTCCCAGAATTCCCCAGCCAGCCCATCTTAAAGTGGGTAACGCATTTCAAGGGTTATTTCCAACAAGAGGCCTCCTTTGCAAGCCCACCAGCTTTGCAAGCCATCTCAGTCTGTAGCTTCCTGGCAGATCGAATGTGCGGTAGACTGCCTCTGAACGTGGAAGTTCCATTTAGAGGTCCCCTCTTCTCACAGCTGCTGATAACATTCTGGCTGAATTTGCACCCCACTCTAGCCTAGGGGAGAACCTACTCCTGACCTTAGCGGGCGAAACAAGCCATCCTGTTAAACTGTCAGGCAATAGAAAGGAGTTTAGAGATGATCTTGGGGAAGGAATGAAAGACGCATTAAAAGACACAATTACACCGTCCAGAACTGAAGCAAGCGTGAGGCAGAAACCCACAGTAGCTGTGCCTTGATTTTATTTCTTGTACGAGAGGGTAGACATTCTGTTATTCCACCCTACACCAGTAAAATAGCCTTCCTGGAATCGCTGCCCTGCCTGTTTCTCGGCCCGGCCTACCTCACAGGGCTGACGTCCCCATCATCATCATCATCAAAAATAAATAAATGCCATTAATTAATTAATGACTCAATCAATTCTTTAAATAAATAACAATAGTGAATAAGGCGTCCCTGGGATATCCTCACCCCCCTTACCTCCCCCTTGGCGTTGGCGTCGTCCACAATCTGTAGGAACCGCTGGATCTGTTCGACCGAGGGGGAGCAGAAGTCAGCAATGCGCAGGCGGTGCACACGGATGCCGGGACACGTGTCGTGGTAAGGCGGGCTCCGCTCGGTGAGCGACACCAGGTGCCGGATGCCGTGTTCGTGCATGTACTGGTAGTGAGCGGGCAGCCGCGGCATGCCTAGGCCAGCCAGCAGGCCTGGGACGACCCAGGAAAAGTTGGGGGGCAAAGCCGACGCCATGGGCCCTGCGGGGCGGAGAGAGAAGTGGATTTATGGCTTCGGGAAAGGGCTGAGTGCGCTGCACCGAAAGGGTGCCACGTTCCAGCTGTTCCAGCTGAGCCCCACCGGGTGGGCGAGAGGGGCCACCCTTCCAGCGCCGGGCAACCTGCGAACAGGGTCCCCCCGCCCGCCCCAAGCAAATGCCCGGGTTGCAAGGCGGGCGGGCTGGAGCCCAGCGCCGGAACGAGCAAGGAGACATCTCGGCTGTGTGGATGGAGGCCGCTGAGGGAGGGGGAAGAATCAAAACATCTGGCGGTTTTGCGCGGAGGCCAACCAGCCGCCTTGCCCGGCTTCTGCAGCCAAGCGCAGCCCCCGAGGGCCGGGCAGGCTCGCGCTGGAGCGGGCAGAGGGTGCAGCGGGGGGCGGCGGGGGTTGATCCCGGAAGCTGCACGTGGGAAGGGCCGCGAGGAGACCCGGGAGCAGCGAAGCCGGAACCCCGCGCGGGGCTGCGAGGTCCTTTCTTGCAAGCCAGCCGGAAGACCCATGGCATTTTTTTGGGGGGGGTCTTTTTGCAATTGCAGGGGAGGCGAGCAGGAAGCGAAATGGCCCCCAGATGTCCGCGGGGACCCCCCGCCTCCCCCCGGCCCCCCGGGGTTCTTCCGCCTTGCAAACCCGGCTAAAAATAAACGCGGGCGGGCAGGCGGCGCGTCCCGGGCTGACCTTGCGGCTGTCCCGCTAACGCGCCTCCTCCAAACGACCCTCCTGACCCCGGAAGGGCCCTGCCCCAAACCCGCCAGTCGGGGCACCAGCCTGGCGCCTCCCGCTCTTCCTCCTCCCCCGCCTGGCCTGGCGAGCAGGGATCAGCAGCGGTCGCGGCGCTTTGAACTCCATTTAAGCCACGATTGTACCTG